TTTTTTTTTTTTTTTGTGGTATCAGGGAACAAACTCACAACCTTGAGCTTGGAAGGCAGGCGTGGTGCCACTGAGCTAAATCCCAGCCCCTACATTAACTATTAAAATTCATTTACCTTAAAAATAAGTTTATAAAAAGGCCATTGTTACATTATAAGCATGAATATTTTCCCTATAACTGAATTTCAGAAATCTTAAGAAAAAAATAGCTCAAATAAATTTCTATTAAAGTCAGTTGGAAAACAATTAAGTAATATGACTATTTTAAATGTAACACAAAAATTTTGTCTTTTAAAAAAGAACATGAAATTCTTTTAAAGAATTTAAATTCTTTAAATTTAGTGGTCAGGGATTCACCTGCCTTACAAGCGCAAGGTCCTGAGTTCCATCTCTGGTACCAAAAAAAAGGTACTTTAGTGATATGTGCCCAAGAGGTCATTGAAGGGCTTGCTGTGTCAAATGCCTTTTCTAAGGGAACCTGTCCAGAGCCTCCCACTGAGGTAGCAAGCAGCCTAAGCCATGATCTATGCCATGCAACTCCCTTTGCAAAACCATATAACCTCAAGAGGCCAACAAAAAATGATCAAATGCAGACACTCTACCCAAACTGGGATAACCAGTCGCTCGCTACTCTCTCTCTCTCTCTCACACATTAATTTTATTAGTACATTTTAGATATATATAGTGATAACATTCATTGTTGGAAATTTGTACCTGTACATAATACAACTTGCTTCTACTGCTTTTCCCATCCCCCTCCCCTCCCTTCAGTTTTTCTTCCCCTCCTTACTTGCAAACGCTGTATTTCCATTTTTTCCTTCTATTCTTTTTTTCTTGTCCCTTCTTTCCTTTCCCCCTTCCCCCTCCTTTGCTCCCCTTTCCATTTGAATGATTTATTCTTTTGAGACAAGGTTCCACTACATAGTTTAGGCTGGTCTTGAACTCACTATGTAGCCCAGGCTGGCCTCAAATGCTCAGCCATCCTCCTGCCTCAGCCTCCAGAGTGCTGGGATTACAGATGTTTGCCACCATACCTGGCTTGCCCATTCTCTGTTAAGAACTGAACTGGAAAATAGAAAGAGAAAATCATTTCCATGGTGGAAGCAGAAGTTAAGAAATCAGGACGTAGAAAGAAGATTGGAGAAGCCATAAGCAGGACAATTTATGAGCCAACTGAGGCCATTAGGTAGAGAAGAGACCTCTACAGTAGAGGGTGAAGAGACTGATGACAAAGGCACAGCAGAAGCAGAGACAGAGTAGGACAAGTCACTATCACAAAGACTGACAGTGAAGTCCTCCTGTTGAAGGAACAATGAGACCACCCATTTCCTGTTTCTGCTCTAGATACATCCAAACCCCCTGCCCCATGTTTATGTCCCACATCTGTGAGGTCTACCTGTGGCTGTTTCCACTTCATTACTTCATTGCCTGTGGTATTCTAAGGGAATGGTCATGTCTTCCACCTCTGCATAAATTAATAAGTAGATCTCTGGGACTATGGGCCAGGCCATAATGATAATATTTTGGTTTTCACTCATGTTCCTGGATCATAACTCCCATAGCCCTTTTTACCTCCTAAATAACCATAACACAGAAAAGAAACTACCAGCAGAATGAAGAGACAACCCACAATGTGGGAAAAATTTTTTACCAGCTGTTCCGCAGACAAAGGTCTACCATCTAGAATATATAAAGAACTTAAAAAAAAATCAGAGCCCCAAATTTAAAGACCCAATCCAAAAATGGGCATCTGAAATGAACAGATATTTCTCAGATAAAGAAGTAGAAGCAGCAAGTAAACATATGAAAAAATGTTCAACATCACTGGTCATTCAAGAGATGCAGATAAAAACTATGCTGGATTCCATCTCGCTTCAGAAAGAAAGGCTGCTATCAAGAAATCAACCAGTAACAAATGCTGGCAGGGCTGTGGGGAGAAAGGATCCCTTCTCCATTGTTGGTGGGAGTGCAGACTGGTGCAATCTCTCTGGAAATCAGTGTGGAGATTCTGCAAAAAACTAAAATTAGAGGTTCCAGTTGACCCCGATATTCCCTGCTGGGTATCTTCCCAAAAGAATTAAAAGCATTATTCCATTAGTGATATATGC